TACACGGCTACTGATTGACTTTCTCTAAAGGGAAAAAAAATGCTCCATCATGAAAAAATTAGGAGCTGATGTTGCTAAATAATTCCTTTGATTGAAGCAAAATAGGAGGAGAAATGATTAATTCTTATTTAAGAGGACTGCTTCCCTCAATGACTTGAAGGTCTAGAATAAGAGAATTCTGCACGAAATCAAGCGAGCCTCATGTAGACTGCTAGAGAGCAGCCCAGCGGACAGTGAAACCCAGAGGACTTGTCCAGAAAAGAGCTTAGAAGACAAGAACGAAAGCTGTTCTTTCCAAATTTGCTAGCATGGGGTTACTACAGTCTGTTCCCTGCCACATAGAGACACCTCAGCGGGAGAAAAGGTCTGAGCTTGCAAAACTCTCAAGAAACACTGGGTGACAGGTAGCGGTTTGGGAGGCGCTGGTCGACTCACAGGAAGACTGCAGTAGGAATTGTGTTTCTTGACAATTTCAAATCACAGTCAGAGAAGGAGCAGGGAGGGAATGAAGCAATCTGATGACTAATTTGGATTTGGTGCTGACTTTTCCCTGTGTCCTATTGATTCAGTTCTGGCTTTTAGGAGGCCCACTGAAGGACAGGGAAGTGGCTCAAAGAAACCTTCAAGGAAAGATGCTCGCTGGCTTTGACTGAGCAAATGTCTGCAGTGCCAGCACTCCCAGAGGCCGCAGCAGCCTCAGCCTCTAGCTCTGGACCACTGACTGAGGCCTGGAGCGCTGCAGCTCAGTTCTGAGAGCCGCACAGCAGCAGTGGTGCCCGGCAAAGCTGTGCCCCGGACAAGCCAGCTCAGCTCCCTGCACTCTGAGCAGTCTAGGAGCAGAGAACAGAGTTCTGGAGACAAACCGTTATCTCCCTCCTCTCTCAGCCTCAGAAACCACACAAGCCAACCAACCCAGCCGGCCATGACTACTTGCCTACTCTCAGATACCTTGAACTTCATCAATTCTCACGCAAGAGTGCAGACCCCATTTGAGGCCATCACTGGGCAGTGGCTCTGGTGGAATCCACCTCCAAGAAACCCTTTATTTTTAGGAAACTAACATGTTTGCAAGACTAATGGGCAAGCAAAAGAAAATATGACAATGACATTCATTAACTACTGTTTCTGTTGAGCCAGGCTCCCCCCAACTTCCTGACAGCCCTCTGAGTGAGGATTACAGGGACCCCCACGGTGCAGATTAGATAATAATCCTATTCGCCAAATCAAAGTGCAGATTTTACTTTCTCCATTTTTTTCTTTCACTTTATAGCTATCTTGGTAATTTGATTTCACTTTAGGGCTTTGATTCACCCAATATAAGCCAAACACACTTCCATGAAAAATAGTCCGTATGTTTCTGGATGCATCCCACCACGACCACTAGAAGGTTTTAAAAAAATATTGCCATGTATCAGGCATGAACTCAATCCTTTTTAAAGTCCTGCTCTATCCTTCCAAAATCCAGCTGTACTGTTGTTCTTCATTCCTCTGGATGTCTACTCCCATCACAAAACTGAAAACACATTGCATCCGTCTTTCCCATCTTTGAAGGATCTCCCCACCCAGAACACATGCATCTTTTGCTAACTTACTCATTCAGTTCCTAAAGGAGTTCAAAGACCATACTATAAGCTAAATGTGGGCTGGATGTCCCTGCCCCCAAAAAGATTAAAATCTAGTAGGAGAAAAAGAATAAAATAGTGTAAAAATTCCAGTACAATCATACAATTTCACAGATTTGAAATCCCAACACAGCTGCCATTATAACCACAGCCTGCCTTCATAATGCAGGTTTCAAGAGAGCAAGGCATTTGCTGTTCCCTGAACCAGACCAATGCCTGCTGGCACATCAGTAGGCCTTCAATAAATACTTACGGAATCAATGTGAGTACGTCATAGTACATACAGTCGAATAGCATTGGTATTACACTTACCCAAAGACATCTGTAGCTACTATTTATTATTTCCTCGTGCTGAGAGCTGTGTGCAGTGCTCTTCAGAGGCAATCTCATCATCGTTACCACGATTACCACATTACCACAATTTAATCCTTGATGCCCATTTTACAAATAAGGAACCTAATGTGCAGAGAGGTGAGCTCCAGATTACCAAGCAGCAGTCGAAATTTATCATTAAACAGCCTGTGTGCCCAACCATTAGGTGCACAGTGGCCAAGGAGTGCTTCCCATAAAACAAACGAACATAAAGGGACTGATGGTAGAAAGTTCAGGGCCAAAGAAATGTGCAGACTGGAGAAACAGACCAAAGAAGCGAGAAAACCCTTTCCCCGTTAAATACAATGTGTTTTATCAACTCGTTTTTATAACCGCTGATGTCTACTCCTTGGATGAGAGTACTTCAATGGAAAGCACTAGTCGTTTATCAGAACGCATTTCAATCAGGCAAACCCTACCTTGCTCAAGTGACCTGAGCCTTTTGCTAGAAGCAGAGCAAAGAGCCACAAGAAAGGGCAACTTTCAAGCCGACCTCTAGTCATCTCTAAGAGAAAGAGAAGTTGTCACTTTCTTGTCACAAGGACAAGAAATAAATGGCTTCCTAAAGCAATTCTACAAATGCTTTCATAAATCCACATCTAACATCAAAAAGTCCAGACTTTCAATCCCATGTGTTTCCAATGACTTCAACAAATGAGACGCCAATTCTGGCCCTTCTGCTCCCACATATACAGGGTCACGACTTGCAACCTTTTCAGTAGAGTAAAGAAATTGCTATTCCTTTCATTTTCCCTCAGGAATCAGGAGTAAACTTTTAATCTTGACAATAAGTATCAATGAGCATCAATTACCTACAAGGCATTCGAGGAAGAACATGCAGTTACAGCTCATTCCTGAGGGCAGAATAGAATAAATAGAGAGGTCAAATTGGGCATGGGCTTACAGACCACTGGCAATGCTAAGAGGGACGAGATGCCACTGGAAGCTTCTAAGCTGCAGGGCAACATGCAGTGATTTGTGCTGTAAAAGGTTCTCTCTAGATTTCACCAAAATAGATACAGTCTGGCTGTCACTGTACCTGAGGAACGATAGAATGATGCCATCTGATAGAGACAAGACACATCCACACAGCAATATCTAGCCAAGTCCCAACAATTCGTAGGCATCTCTAGATGAAGTTACTTTGTACTAGTGAGAACATGCTTTCAAAAAGACTGCACTTTTGCTGAGATTCGATTCCCCTCTTACCTTCTTTCATTTCCTCCGTGAATGAGGCTGAAAAATAAGGTACTATGTTCCTAGTTCAAAAATTGTACCACTTAAAAATAAGTCCTGAAAAAATGCCAGAGTTGTGTTCCAGAGAGACAGCATAGAGAGCTCCGAACATTTAGAATCTAGCCTTGCACTGATATATCAGATCCCTGTGTGTAGAGTCAGGGACCTCCTGAGCACTTGGTTGGTCTGATGTGATAACCAGTGCCAGCCTGCAGGGTGACGCAGAAATCCTAGACATTCAAGACTGGTCAACGTGTCATCTGCTCAACCAGCAATAACATGAAAACACTATCTCAGCACCCAACCTACCAAAGGCGGTCCACGTGAGGCTATATTTATGGCAACACCGTGCCAAAAATCTGGGCTAATCTGACTCTGCTATTCATAAATTCCCCCTCATGTGAAAGCACATGTGTTTAGGAAAGAAAAACGAATCCAAGTCAATTTTAGACATTGTTACTTGGAAACCATCTGGAGTGCCCAGAAGCATGAGAAGCCAAGGCATCCCCTGCCCTCAAATGCCCACTGTAACTGGGGCAGTGTGCTTAGATGGGAGTCTAGATGGCACTTACTCCCAAGAAGCCCTCACACCCACCCTGCAGGTGCCTGCTCAACTCCACTCCCCACTCAAGGAAGGTATTTGGTTTCTTGATAAACCTAGTGGAGAACACTTGACTCGACTCAAGGTGTTGAGCTTGTACTTGAATTGCACCCAGGGCTGGGCTCTTTGCTTTAGGGCTGCTTTAGAATTGCATGCCTGAATTCCTTTGCCACAGCAGGGACACGAAATCCTTCCCCTGGGACAGAAGGTATGAAAAATCCCCTCTACCACACAACATTCTCTATTCAGAAAATGTCTAGCTCTGGGAAAGACCCCACCAGAATCCTTATGTAACCTTAACAGATACTGGCTCCCCGTGCAGCCACTCCTGGAAACTCTGGCCCCAATGCAGCTCATTTTCACAGTGATGAAGGCAGGCTGGGTCTTCCAGCTGCTTAAGGGCCTAGCTGTTCGAGGCAGTGGCACCCCGGTCCCCATCTCCTGCCTGGCTGTGATCCTCCGCTTATCTCATCTGCCAAAGGAGTTGGACCTCCTTTTTCGCAGCCAGCCTCCTTCCCTCTGCTGAAATCAATGGAAGGCAGCGCCAGGCCACCAGCACCTTCTACTCTGCCCACTACTCCCCCGCCTCCATCTCCGCCATCCTCTCCCCACCACCAGAGGCTTGGGGGAACCCGGCCAAGAAAGTGATCCAGAATCTCGTACAGTCACAGTCCCTGAAAACAAACACGGCGGGAGGGGCAGGCCCAACAGGCCAAACACTTCCCCTGGACTCTGAGGCAACCCCGAACTCGACGCAGGGTCAGGTAAGGGAAGAGATCTCTGGAGATCACTGCGGCTGGGCTGCCCGAGGCACCATCAGAGCAAACACCTGTTTCCAGGAAGCTACAAGGCCAGAGGGAGCAGGGAGTCCAGGGAAAAGGCAGGGAGGACGAGGTGAAGGGGCAGCTGGGGACGCAGGTAAAGGATGCGTCACACATTGCGCTTGGCAACCAGCGCCGCGACCAGCAGGCAGTGTGCGAGGAGAGTTCCAGGGTCCTGGAACTCCAGATCCGGGGGGTCGCGCCTGCCAGCGGAGCCCAGATGGGGGCAGCGCGGGGAAAGGGAAGGCGAGCAGGGCGGGGAGGCCGGCGAGCTCCAGCACCTGTGCGCCCCGCGCGGATGCAGCCTCGCGGGCGCGCAGCGGCCGCCGCGGCCAGCGGGTGACCTACCTGCCCACCGTCTGGTTGGCCAGCTGGCGCATGCGGTTGAACTGCTTCTTCATCGTGGCCCCGCTGCCGCGCTAGCCCGCGAGCTGGGGAAGGACGGAGCAGCCCGGAGCCCGCCGCGGGGTTACATGGCTCCCGCGCGGAGCCTCCGGGGCGGCGGCGGCGGCACTGCGGAGCCGTCTGGCCCGCGCACGGCTCCCTGCCGGGGGCACCACAGCCTACTCCTGCCGCTGCCGCGCTGCCTCGGGCTTCATCCTCCTCACGCACGCCGCGGGCCCCTCATAGCAACGCCCCCAGCCGCTTCGGCGCCGGCCGGGTCGCCTCAGGCTGCAGCCCCAACCCCAACCCCAGCCCCAGCCCCGCGCGCGGACCGGGGAGTCTCCGCAGGCTGGCTGGCTGGCTGGCTGGCCGGGGGTCCCCGTGCGCCTGTGCGGAGAGCGCCGTGCATGCTGGGACTTGTAGTTCTCCACTTGGTGCCCACCTTCCTTCTGGCCAAAGTTTGCAGGGAGCGGGAGGGGGCAGCGTCGTCGCCCTCGGCTTTGCACTTTAGGGTTATTCTAGTAAAGAAAAATGTTTTCCTGTTTTTAAAAAAAAAATAACAAAATGAAACCAAAAAATGCAACAGCAAATAAAACTACTGAGCATCTGTCACCTATTGCATTTAAGTGTGAGTCCCAGCTGTTCTGAATTCACAGCAGGAAGACACAGGCTAGAGGTTCATTTAGTAGTATAAAGTCACCTGATTCAAGTTGAAGTGCCAGGTTAAGCTTGGGGCAGGCACAGGGATTGGATACCAGGAAAAGCATGCATCCTAGATATGTCGTTCTTAATTTTCAGCAAATAAGCAGAAGTCAGCATAAAAGAACAGAATCACAGGGGCATGGCGTCTGCCGGCCCAGGCTGACTGAGAAGGCATTTTTGTATGGCTTAGATTCCAATCCCAGCGATTCCCATTTCCTTTCCACCGTCAGAAGACCAAGAACATCAACGGTGGCAGCTTCCTATATGCCACCATTTTTATTGTCATTGGTGGCTTTCTTCAGGGCTATCCATAGGACAAGATGGGTGATTGCAGTTAGATGTCACCGTTTACCAAGTAACAGCAGTATGGTATATGCATCGTAGGGTAGCTGGGGCTTTGGATCAAATATATATAATTTCCTATATATATATATAATTTCCACGTACCTGTTATATAAGCTTAGGAAAATTCCTTTACCTCTCTAAGAGGTTTCCTCTTTTCAAGTAAAGAAATAATGCTACCCGATAGACAGCAAAGATAGAAAACTGTTAAACTACTAATAATCAAATTGCACATATATTAACTCTGTAATACAATGTATAATATTGATTTAGAACTAATATGATAATTAGCATAATAGTAAAAGATCTTATTCTACGATAGAACCCCTATTCTAGTAGATGAAAGTACTTTTTCAAAATTAAATATTTTGCATATGTTGACTATAGTCACAGGATGTCCTAAATATGGCTCTCAGTAACTTGCTGGCCAGCTGAACAAAAGATGGTTTGAGGCATGTCTTGGCTGAATGAACATGAAATTCTTAATTAATTGTGAATTTAGCCTCTGCTTATTAGGTCAGGCAGCTCCAGCCAATTAACAAGTGAAGGCATTATTTGCTTTTAACTCGCTGTATATGCCTGTAATGTCAATATAATGTTTGTACAAAATGAAGTTATTTTCATTTTAAAATTTCAAAATCCATGGCATCACATGATTTTTATCTGCATAGATAATAGTGAGACGCTAAGTGCACTATTTGAATTTTAGCAACTTTATGATAATATTTAGACTTACCTTATCCTTTACAAGTAGCCTCTGACCACATGTGGCTGTTGAAATTTAAATTAAATGAAATTAAGTAAGACTTAAGATGTAGTTCCTTAGTCACAATTTATAGGCTTAACAGTCACTAGTATATTTTTGTTTCCTACCTCAGGGAAGGAATGATGATGCAGAAAAAGAGAAAGAGATGCTAAATCTCCTCTTTTGGTCTTTTTAAGCATACTTCAGAAATGTGTGTTGGAGGTGGGTTAGCTCAGCGGCATAAGTGCCTGCTTGGCAAATGCGAGGGCGTGAGTTCAATCCCCAGCACCAAAAAAAAAAAAAAAAAAGAAAAAAGAAAAGAAATGTATGTTGGAGAATGGAGTTTGTAAAGAAGACCAGGTTGTAAGAATAGCTGCCTGCCATGAAGGATATACTAGCCTACTTAATCCAAAGGATCCACAAGCTGTGTGGTGTGGGAGATGCTGATGGGTGAGACGGAATGCAGGGAGAAAGAAGGAAGCACATGGTGTAGGCACAGATTATGTCGTTGTCCATATGTTTCATGTTTATCTCTATAAAAAGGGATCAAACTTCATCTCCTCGTTGAGGTCAAGATCATCATGGGATATTCTTGTTAAACAACTATCCCCACAAATGATTCAGGCCACTTTTAAGTTTTAAGAGTAGTTCTGTTAACCAAGTGTCGTAGTGTGTGCCTATAATTCCAGCACTCCGGATGTGAGGGCAGAAAGATAACTGGCTATTTTTAAAAGGAAAAAGCTAATACAACTAAAGAAAGGGAGAAAGAAAAACTGAAACACAAAATGTCAAAATGAAGAAAAGGATTTAAACATAGGTGCAAAAATATATACAAGAATATATTTGTAATTTTATGTTTACTTATTTTGAAATAAGCTCTTTGTTTTTAGGGAAATACAAATTGATACAGGTGTTTCAAAAATAAGTGGGAAGTTTGAGCAGATGAGGAACACTGAGGGACCATGAAGAGATTCTTGGTAAAGATAAAGTTCAAGGGGGCTGGAGATTTAGCTCAGCGGCATAAGCGCCTGCCTTGCAAGCAGGCAGTCGTGAGTTTGATCCCCAGTACCAATAAAAAGGAAAAAGACAAAAAAAAAAAAAAAAGATAAAGTTCAAAATAAAGTAGTCAGCCACACACACACACACACACACACACACACCACCACCACCACCACCACCACCACCACCACCACATACACACAAAGTTGTCAGGTTAGGTCCAAAGTGTATTTTTCTTTCTAGAGGTTCCCTATGTAGTACAATCTGGCCTCGAACTCATAGCAATCCTCCTACCTCAGCCTCCCAAATGATTACAGACATGCATCACCACCCCCGGCTTCCAAATGGTTTTATGGAAAGTTCTGGTAAAAGTTTCAAGGAAATGAAATTTTCTCTGCTGTTTAAAGTGTTCCAAAGTACAGAAATAAAAGAGAGCATCCTAACTCATGAAATTGCCCTAATGCTGTTATCAAAACCAATGAAGGTAGCACACACACTCACATCATTATCATTTACAGGAATAGATGTAAAATTATTAATAAAGTGTTAATAAATAAGAGCTAACAGAACAGTGTATGTGTTTAGGTTAAAATGTGCATATATTTTAATAATACCAAGGAAAACTTCAGAAATTTCAGATAAATTTTAAAAGCCAAAAACCAATCATTCATACTAACCAAGATAACACTGAATTTGTTAATATATTGAAAACTGGGTGTCATACTCTAGTGAGGTCAATGTGTTCTTTTTTGTCTTCTGTTAGTCCGAATATCTCTATGATCAACATGTTGGTGGGTAAAACTTTGAAAATATATTTATTTACTTAAGGTCCAAATTAAAGAGCTAAAATTTCTACATTAAAGTGTATGTTTTCAAACTTCCTGTTTCCTACGGCCAACTTATCCTCCAGGTAAAATATGGAGACACGTTACAATGTTTAAGTAGGCCATTGTACGCATACCCTGACCTACACTGGAGATTAAGTCTTTTATAATCTTGCTGGCTAAATAGATGGCAAATGCAGTATAGCGATGTTGTAATTTGCATTTATTTTTGTCTCACACTAACATTTTCCCATGATTCAGAGCCATTGGTACTTTTTCTTTGATTATTTACTTCTTTGAATTTCCATGCATTTTCCTGTTGTAAAATGCCACATTTTCTTATTGACTTTGTAAAGCTCTTTAGTCACATTAATTATAGGAGTGCTATTATATCTTGTGGTACATGTTTTCTCTAGTTTGGTCTTTCCGTCTTAAAATCTGTAATGTTGATTTTTATGTTCCAAGAATTTTATCATTTTAAGGTAGCCAAATCTATCTATTTTTCTTTATATTTTATGTCTTTGGTTTAATGCCTTAAAATGCTTCTTTATCTCAAAAGATTATAAATATTCAACTACCTTTTTACTCACAATGTTTATTTGTTCATTTCTTTTATTTGCAGTAAACTGTACATTCAAATTTTGGTGCTAGGATGATAACTAAAAACCAGTAATTAAGGCTCATTTCTTTCTGCAGTGTTAATTTGCAGTAATTCAAATAATGGCCAAAGTCTGTGTCACTCCTGGAGATGAAGAATCCCACTCACAATCTTGGCAAATAATGGTACAGGTGGTTTCTGAGTGAGGGGAGGATTGGCCAGGCAAGTTTTTCTATGTGTAGGGGGAAATTAAATGGAGACCTGTGCCATCTCTGAAAAATGACTTCTCTCACTACCTCGGTCACCAGATTCAGATTAACCAGAACTCTCATGTGAAACGGAACAAATAAAAAAACAGTCAGTGGTTTAATATAACAGTGATGAAGATTAGTGATCATGATGACAATGGTGGTAATGAACCATTTAGCCAAGAACTACTGTAAGTCCCTTGACAGGCATTATCTTATTCAATCCTTAAACTCTTACATGAGGTTTTATTATACCCACCTCACAAATCAAAGCTCAGATAATTTAGGTGGATCATCATTCAAATGCCAGAAATGGATTTAAAGCTAGATGCCTCTAGTTCAAATATTTGTCCTTATATGCAATGTATATAAAAATCATGTGTTTCCCATTAGGTGTACAATTTTTATATTTCTATACACCAGTTAAAGGTAAATATAACTTTAGAATTAAAAATTAATAATAAATGAAATATACAAATATATATGTACATCTGTATGAATGGAGATTTTTGTAATATGTGTATTTATACATACATATATACACAGATACGTTTATGCATGTATATATAGATATACTTATATATCTATATATGTATCTGTGCTTTAGTTACAGGGTATTACTTACATAAAATAGGGAAACTAACCTGAGAATTATGAAAAGATGGCCTTCGGCCAAAGAATTGCACAGAAGTAAGGGAAATATATTTTTTCATTCTATCTTGTAGTCTTAGTAAGGACTAAGAGAACATTGTTTTAGTATAACAGGAGCTTGTTGCCAAGAAAAGGAGCCACATTAAACAAGAAAGAGCTCTTGGATAAAAGACACATGACTTCCAAACTAATGAAACTGAACGGAGGCAGGAAATCACAGATTTGGCACAGCCCAAACTGGAATTAATGCATTAAAAGATGGCTAGAAGAGTGCTTCCAGAATTCAAAAGGGAAAAGTAGCTCATGCAGTGAAATGGTGCAGAAAAGAGAAGAGGCATGGAATATTTTTTCCAGAACACTCCAAAGACACATGTAATAGACTTTTCAGAGCTGATAATGAAGAAGAAATAAGCATAAAAATACTAGAAAAGTATTTTGCCCAGTTGAAGGAAGGCCCAAGTCTAAATTAATTCACCAAGTACCACAAAATATTGCCGGTGGGAGGAGCCTTGGCTGTATCTTGGTTAAACCTCTGAAATTCAAAGATAGATCCATATATATATATATATATATATATACACACACACACACACACACACACGTATATGAGAAAGAAGTTGATCTCTGAAAAACAGAAAGTGGTTCATCTTATGCCCAATGCCAATTAAATCTGGAGCTACATTCACAAAGCTCAGTGGAAATAGATGTAACTTAAGTGCAGCTCAAGACGTCTACATCTGGCCTAACGTTCATCAACTAGGGCAAGACAAAGTCATTTCTAGGGATGTAATAACTGGGAAGATTTACTGATCATCCTTCCTTCTGAAAAAAATGTTGGCCAAAAATTATTTGTTCCACTAAGATAACTTTTAAAATGGGAAAAATTAGTTTTGCACGGTGATATATACCTGTAATCCCAGTACTCAGGGATTACAGGTATATAGGCAGAGGCAAGATAATCACTGTGAGTTTGAGGCTAGTCTGGATTATATAGTGAGTTCTAGGCCGGCCTGCACTACACTCAAGATCTTGTCTCAAAATAAATAAATAAGTAAAAATTTTAAGGGGGAGTATTTCTTCAAGTTCCTGTAGAAATTTATTTCTTAACATACAACAAAAATTCTAACCTTAAAGGTAATACTGGTGAACCAGACTAATTCACATTTAGGAACTTTGGTTTGTCAGATGGCACCATCAGAGAGACACCAAGAGAAAGAAAAAGTTGTCCTCAACACTGAATGTAATGCATGTAACTGTCAAAAGAACTTGACTCCACAATATAGAAGAAATACAACAAATCAGTAGAAAAATGGAAGGAAATCCAAGCAAAAAATGAACATGAGACTTAAATAAGCACTTTTCCAGAGTCTATATAAATGGTCAAAATGATGAAAAATTGTTGAACCTCATTAATGACCCAATATATGCCATTGCATTTTACAATGAAATAACATCTCATACCCATAGAATGTCTAAAATTGGAAAAGACTGGTTAAATCAAGTCTTGGTGAGAAGGAAGCAGAAGGAGAATTCTGACATATTATGTTGGGAGTGAGATCAACATAAGGACTTTAGAGAATAATGTCTAATATCTGCTAAGGCTGGGCAATATGCACACTTTATGAGCTAGAAATTTTACATGGTATTATCTTGGTTACTATTTCCTCATTGCTGGGGCAAAATACTCAACACACAAAGCTAAAGGAGGAAAGGTTTATTTAGCTCACAGTTTGTGGAAGTTTCAATCCATAATCTGCTGGCTCCAAGGCAGAGTGGTTCATGACAGAGAGTTACAGATCATGGAGGAAGAATATGGCAAAAACAACAAGAGCAAAAAGGGAGAGTGTGAGAGAAGACTCTTTTAGTCCCTTATGTTGTTTGTAGGCTACACATCTTAGGGTGACTGTAGCACTCATACCCATAATCTCAGCATTGGACCATGAATCAGTCACAAACTCTAGAAGTCTGCCCCCATGACTGTATGAGGCTTTCAGGAGACAACCAGACACAAGCCATAACACATGTTAAACAGAAATGTGTACATGTTTGCCTCAAAATGCATGTGCCAGAATGTTTATGTTGGCAATATTTGTAATACCAAAAAATTGGAATCAATTGAAATGTTTACATAGAGTAAGTGGTGGTACATAACAGAGTGAAAAGACAATCCACAGAGTAGGAAAATTTTTAGTCAATTGTCTCTCAGAAAAGGAAATTCTATCTAGAATATATAAAGAGTTCAAAATATGAGACCATCCAGATTCAAAGACCCAATTCAAAAATAGGCATCTGAGATGAATATATACTTCTCAGATGAAGAAATACAAATGACAAATAAATATATGAAAAAAATGTTCAGCATCACTAGTCATTCAAGATATGCAAATTAAAACAAAACTGAGATGCCATCTCACCCTGGAAAGAATCACTTTCATCACAAAATCCGCAAATAACAGATGTTGGAAGGGCTGTGGGCATAAAAGAACCCTTATTCATTATTGGTGGTAATGTAGACTGGCGCAACCACTGTGGAAATCAGTGTGGAGATTCCTAAAAAACTAGAATTAAAGGTCCCATTCCACCCAGGTCGTCTGTTTCTGGGTATCTTCCCAGCACGAATTAAAAACATCATGCCACAATGATATATGTGCACCCATGTTTACAGCAGCACAATTTGTAATAGCTAAATCTTGAAAACAACCCAAATGCCCATCAAAGAAGGAACGGTTGAAAAAGATATGATATTTCTATATGATGGAATACTACTCAACCAAGGAACT